GTAATGCTTTCATGATCCTTATACTGCCTTAGCTATTTCGTATACCAATACTGGATGAGATGTGTACTTGTATAAAGATCTGTCTTACATTTGTAGTCTCACAATTCAATTTTTGTAATATATTCTAGAATAATCTGTGATGAAATAAGGACCAATAGTTTTGTATGCTTTTTGCAGTAAATTCCTTGCCTTTATATATAGGTTATATGTATTTCTGCTTGTTTTAAAATATTCAGTGGCTGCTTCTATATTTATCCGTGAACTTACGTGAATTCTTAATCTTTCATTATGCTCTACTCTTCCACTTTGGAGGAAAACAATTTGTTTAAACGTGAGCATCACTATCAGTATGATGACTAGAATTCTTAGTAGACAGTGGTTAAAGTAACAGTGTCAAGAAAAGCGGGGAGGAAATGTTGCTGGGTTAATAACATGACTAAAATGTAAACCTGAGCTAGGCTGTAGTATCTTTAGCAGCTGATGTATTTGGAAGTGAAATACTACTGTGGAAATGGATGTAGAAAAAAAGAAAGTACGGATAAGTAATTGACTTTTCTTTTGGTGTGCTTCAATTCTGATTTATTTTTTATGGTAAAATAGGGCTGTATTATCTCAGCCTTATTAAACCAAGGCTTAAAATTCCTGCGTGTTATCGTCACGTGTGAAAATGATGCATGGCAAACACTTTTCTTCTGAAAGTGAATTAGCATCTTTAAGATCTGCCATGAAATAAGGTGAATTAGTCATTGTTTATTGGGGGAAGCAATGTCTTGTGCAACACCAGTTTATATATCTGGAAGAAAGGTCTACTTCAGTGCTCTTCAGCTTATGACTTAAGTTTAGTTCTACATACCAACTTTGTTGATATGCACCACCTTTACTGTGGTATTTTGTAGAAATGGTGTTAATAGCACACTTACAATAAAGGTATTTTCTGAGTCCCAGTTTGATAGGTGAGGTGCAAATAGTAACTTACAAAATGTCTGGAGACTGAATTTTTCTTCATCTTTGAGCTAATTAAAAGTCTTGAGATTTTTCTTTACTTGATGGAGCTTATTGCTTCGAAGTATCAGGCACAACTTGGGTAGTGTGCAGTGTCCCAGTGTTCATTTGCATTAAGTTCTGTAACTACTGTCAACATCAATATGGCCATTGGTTTGCTATTAGTATTTTCTCAAGTGCTGCCTCTTTTGCTTGTATCTTGAAAACTTTTTGGAATCTGTCAAAAGATGTAAAGTCATGTCTGATGCTGAAGGTCACTTATAAGGAGTTTGAGCCAAGGATTATTTTCATGGGATTGTCCTTTTCTTAGAAACTTACTGTCATCATTAGTCATGCCTTAGTGTTTCCTGGGACAGTACTGTGCCATTGCAAACCTTTTTCCTAGCTCTCAAGGAAAAGATAACCCGAAACTTTTGAAGAATTTATCAGTCAACATAGTATTCGCAAAGATTTGAACACTAAATGCAGTTGTTATTTAAAATTGAGTTTAAATGCTGAAATTACCTTCACAAATAATCATCCATAAAGCTGAAACTATAGTCTCTACCCAGTGACTACGTAGGAATGTGGCAGAAGCCTTCCTGCTTTTGTTTAGGGATGACACAAACTCTGTGTGAGGAGCTCCTACAGTGGTTTTCATGTTTTGATTGCCAAACATCATGATCTCAACAGAAGCTTCTCCCAGACATAGTATAATATTATGCATCATGTTTTCTTGCTTCAGGGTCCTTATGTGCTACAGCCCATATGTGCTGTAATGGCAATGCTTTTTATAGACTGAGTGACTGAAAATTAAAAAGGACTAATCTGCAACATTTTACCTCCTGTATTACAGCTAGTGAGAATTTCTCTGAGTAGAGCGATGTGTTGGTTGTCTTGTCTTTAATCATGGTGGAAGAATTGTAAACAGTGAGCTGTGAGTGTCAAAGTGCAAGTGGGGGAGCAGTTCTGAAAGATTAATATTTATTTGGGAAAAAAACTTCTCAGTTTTACTTAAGAAGTATTATGTTAAAATACTTAGACAAACTTCCATTGCTTGCAGTAAGTGCTTTAATATCCTTTGTAATCTTGGAAGAGCAGTTGGCTCTCCACTGTAACTAGCTGCCTCATTTTTTAACGTAGTATTAAAATTTTACCAAAAAAGAAATATGAAGGCTTTTAAAATGTGTATTTGAATGTTGATACCTACACACATATGTATGTGCACTCTTAAGAATGGGTTCTTAAAGTCCTGAGAAAAGAAAACCAGATTTTTAAAAATGCTTGAATACACCCAAATTGGGCATATGCCCAAATTAGTGTCTATGTATTGAGCTGCTGAAACAGCATATGTATGCTGTTTGATTCTCAATTATGTTCCTGTTTATTTAGTTTTGGTGGTTTTACTCCCCAACATGGCTGTTATTCAAATTCCTCTATTTGAAAATACTGTTCCCATAGGCAGGGAATCAGTTTACCTCTAAAGCTGATGTGTGTGGGGTTTTTTTGTTGGTTTTTTTTTTTTTTTTTTAAAGCATCAGTACCTATTTCTAAACCAGGATGATCTTTTTTATAAATTCATAGAAAATGAAAAGTAGTCTAGAACTTTAAATGTTTTCATATGCAAGACTTTTTGCTATTTATTCTATAATTCTACAATGTTTAATTTGTATTTATGTTTTGCTGGTAAAACTCATATCTTTCTTGCCAAGTCCTAAGGAATGCCTGGATGCTACTTTCTTCCGAGAGCCAAGTGTGTGTGTTGCTAAGTTTATTTGATTTGCTTATGCACATTTTGGAGGGAGAAAAAAATCCTCAAAACCTTGATTCTGTTGTGCAAAGTTTTAGTAAGAGTGTAGTACTTACCAATTTTATAAGTAAACTTTTTACAGGTGTTCAGAGGCTCACATTTTAGTTATTCCACTAAAAGATTGTCTTTGGATCCATTCCTGGTAGTGAAATAAAAATTTCAGTGTGGGTGGAAACTTAATATTCAAGAGGTGTGTTCTAAGAATCTTACTGAAAAGTGCAAACCTAATTGACTATTTCTTATGTCATGCATTTTTATTTTTCTAGTTATATTCAAAGACTGTTGTGGTTAACTTCTTTTAATTCACTCTGATAAACAATCTTTCTCTTGACAATTTTCTGTTCTGAATGGACTTTGGTATGAAAGATTGATTCTCTAGAGCTGCCTACCTGTTTGGCTCCCCAGATCTTCTTTCTCTCAAAAATGAAATATTTTTGGTTTTTTTTTATTTTTGAGCTCCCTTGAAAGTATGATGTAAGCGCAACTTCATACATAAGCACATAAATGTAAAAATTTCTTGTGCTGATCTGTTCTGCAGTTTTGTATCTGTTGGGTGTTGGTAATGCAGTAGGTGTGACCTTGAAATGTGCGGTGGAGGTTATGTGGTATGGAGTATGGTGGTAAGACTGGCTGCTGAATGGGTCTCTCATGCCCCATGGGCTGAAAAGTGGATTATGAGAGCACCATGTGCTCCCTGCAGCAAGAGCTCATGCTGAAAGTGCTAGCAGCAGCAAGTATAACTCACGTAGCTGATTGCTGCTGCTCTGTGTAACACAGCTCTTGGTAGAGAATGGTTCAGGTACTGAATGGCAGAGGCATTTACTGGCAGCTGTTCTTCTTGGCTTGCCAACAAAGGGGAAAATACCTAACCTATTTTTCTTCTTGGGGAAAAGAAAAAAATGTGGCAACTTACATTTACCTTACATCTATATGTATATTCAGAATTTATGTAAAAAGGGGAGGTTTTTCAGTTCTAACTTGCTTTGTTTAGCCTCCATGGTTTTCTTTCTTTTCTCGCTCACGTCCTTTTAGATATCTATGCTAAATCAAAAAGTGAGGAGTGGGGGGGTATTGATGACTACCTTTTAAAAAAATAATCTCTTGTATTATAATACAGCTTTACTATTGGAAGTCAGTGTTGTAATAAACAATATACTATTTTCTCCATGTTTTTCAAGTGCTTGTCCTATTTTAAAACTCTAATCTCATGCTTGCCAAATGAAGTTGGAAACAGCATAAATGCTGTACTGTAGCAATATAGGTACCTGTAGCATAAATATTACGTCTTCTTAAATCTTAGAAGTTAGTGTTTGTATATAATTTTTTTTTTCTTCTGGAGTGATGTGTGTATTTTATCCTTACTCCAGTAGTGATATTTGTACATGGACACATAACCTGGCAGCCCACTGCTGAACAGTGTGAGTCAGTGGTACTGCTGAGACCCTGAAATTATTTTTTTTAGATGCCTTCTATGTGATATTACTGGAGCCCCGTGGTCTGGTGACAACAGTAGTCCTGAAGCTTGAAACCTGTCCCATATATTACCAAGGTTCTGGCTGCCTACTTTTTTTGATCTAGCAGTTGATTTTGCCCTTTTGGAATATCCCTGCAAATGGAATATATGAAACATTTTACAACTATTCCACATAGTGTAGTAAGATATGTATTCTGGGCTTGAAACAAAGCAGCTATAAAACCGTAAGCCTTGTACGAACTTTGTATTTCCAAAAACTTAGTTATGTGGCATATGTATTTTTTTAAATCTGGGTAGATTAACTTAAATTCATAGGAACAGAGAGAAGTGGGAATCTCCTAATAGAACCAGTTAACGAGGTTGGGCTAGGTCAAAGTTGTAGTGACAGATCATAGAGAAGATTAGAATTAGCAGATTTTTAATTTTCTGCAGCTCTTAAATATTTGTTGACATGCACTGAATGTATTTTGATGACAGTGGTTTCTCTTAAAAAATATCTACATCTTAATTCTTGAAAAAAAATTTTTAAAGATCAATTTGAGTCTTTGTAAAGATGATGAAGCTTTTGCCTTTCCATTACATCTTGCAGAATGATACGTTTGTTTGTAACTTAATACAAAAAACCCCTCAAGATTTATTTAAAGATGTATACATTAAAATCAAGAAATGCAATATTGATCTTTACAGTAGGAAATATGTGCAAATACAGTAATTATGTTTTGTTTTCTTTACAGAAACCATAGCCCATTAATGAGTTTTGGAGCCAGTTTTGTCAGTTTTTTGGTGAGTAGATGGGAGCAAAGAGTATGCACCTCTTCTCTTGTGGTAAATTTTTGTATGTGCATGCGTGTATTCATAATGGTGGATATGCTTAATTTGTTTCTTTTTACGAGACTTAATTTTTTCAAAGTTCTAGATTAAATGTAGCTAGAAAATAATTCATGTTATATAAAACTGGTTCACTCATGTGGTTTAAATAGAAAGTAAAGGTTCTGTGATTCAGCTGCTCAAATGTATGAAATATTTATGTATTCCATTAAAAGAGCCATAATAAACCACTCTCTTAAATGAGCAGTAGAGGTATTACTGAAATAATACTAAAAAATGCCATTTTCCTGATAGCTTTTGCTATTGAAAATTTCTCCATCCTTACTGATGGGTGAAAGTTGTTAATTTAGTCCTTTTGCCTTGCTTCCTTTTTGAATATGTGAGAACTAAGAATATTGACTGACTAGAGAGTCATAATGAACAAGTTAGGTCTGTTACATGCTTTTCTTTTTTTTTTGATGTATTAAAAATAAGAATGTCTTATATAAAAACTGAGCAGGTGTATTAGAAAATGCTTGGATCTTGGTTTTTAGACTGTCCTTATTCTGACTTTGCTGCTTAATCTTAGATTGCACCAAAAATTATCTATGGTAATACTCTTTTTAAAGACAGAATTTATTATAATATGCCAGAAATAGACAAGTTGTAAATGAAATTAATTTGAATTCTCTTTAGTGTCTGTAGACTATGCAATATGGAAAAATATGTTCGTTGGGAAACCTCCTGGGGCATATGCTTGCTTTTAAGTCAATGGAGAGGAGAAAGCAATGAGGGAGAATCTCTCAGGCTTGCTTATCTGAATTGATGTGCTGAACCAGTGTAACATCACAGTGCAGCATCAGTGGATCTTGAAAATACCTTCCTTAGCTACTGTTCTAAACATAGCAGCAGCACTTTGTGTGCCTGTGTCATTCAGAGCTTTCGTTTAATAAAGCATCAAGAGAAGAAGTTACTTATGCTGAAATTCTTTCTAAATTGGCTGAGCAGTAGTTGGGAGTCGGATGCCTATTTTTTTTCCTTCCTACATATGTAGGAATAGTGTGTTTTATTTTGAAAAATGCAATGGCTGTTACTTGTTACTGACTTTGGAGGCCTATTATTTATGTGGATGAATAATATAAAAGCAGTATCTGCACAGATGCAAATCATGCTTTACATAACAATAACTGAAAATTAATTTCTATGAATTTTTCTTCCACTTAATGTGAAGTACATTCAGTTTGACTGCATATGAAGCTTTGTTAAGACAAAGGGTTAGGACTTCGTATGTTCTGATTTGTCTTGAAATTTTAGTAAAGCACACTCAAATCATTACAGTTTGGTGTTTCTGTGTAGGAAGTATGTGTACTGATGTGCGTGTGCATTAATATGCTTTTTAAAAAGCTAAGTTTTATTGTCCCGTTTCTATGAAAACTTACTATCCTATAGCTTTTGTAGAAATAAAAATATTTGTTATTTTTGTCATTGAAATCTGGTTTTTGGTAGAATGCTATGATGACATTTGAAGAAGAGAAAATGCAGCTGGCATGTGATGACTTAAAGGCTACAGAGAAACTCTGTGAAAGTGAAGAAGCTGGAGTTATAGAAACAATCAAGAATAAAATTAAAAAGAATGTAAGAACATTATTTGTAAAATATGGAATTGTGTATTGGATAAATATTTCTGGAGACGTCCTTTCTGTCCTTTTTGTATTTTAAATAGATGATTTTTGATACCTGAAGAGCAGTTGAGATTGACTTAATTTCTAAATTTGTTATTTAATATTTTGCTTGGATTTCCTCACAGTCGGGTACTTCCTCTTCTAAAGCAGCAGGTTGTGTTGATGTTGGTAATTATTTTCTTGACACCTTTTCTTAACCTTGAATTAGTGACCTACTAAAAGTATTTCAGGAAGCTTGTGGCCTGTCTAATTCCGGTTAACTTTAATTCATACATGCTCCAGTAACGTTCAAAAGTTGTGACATTGAGGCTGCTTAGTGCTGTGTGCCAGACATATTCTTACAGAATTTTCCTTCCCTTTTTTAGATTTTTTCATTCTAAAGAAGGAAGGAAGAATGAAGCATGCAGATTGAGAACTAGTTAAAATAGTAGTATAGAAATGTCCAGTTGAGTGGCCTGCCTAGTGTGACATGGCAGATCTACAGCACAAAAAGAACTTCTCTTCAATATTTAGTTTACTTGATTAAAAAGTATTGAACCTGATATACTTAACTCTTTGTGAAGAGACACTATTTTCCCTGCCACTTGTCATATAGCCTTTCCTGTGCTCTTCCTATCTAACATCTTTTAGTTGCGTGTCTGATTAATTTAGTAATAATAAAATGAAATTTAAATCTGTTCTGAATATTCATAAATCTTAAGAAAAATAGCTGACGGCAAATATGTAAGGTATATTAAGTAGGAGCTTGCTTGATGAACTGTCAAAGAACTTTCAGAATAGTGTTGCACTTCAAAATGCTGCGTTAATTTAGTAGCAATACTACCACTTGCAGTTAATTTTGTATTTTTTAATTTGTCAGGTTTAAACTAGTATTCTGTATTATCTTTGTTGACATTTTTCTGTTCTCTGTGCTTGTATATTCCAAACAGGTTGACGGACGAAAATCTGCTCTATCCATGATAGATCGTCTACAAAGACAAATAATTGTAGCAGACTGTCAAGTCTACTTGGCTGTGCTCTCATTTGTAAAACAAGAGTTATCAGGTGTGCTGTGGCTTTAATGTTTAGATATATTTTTTTTTTTGCGTGATAAAAGCTTGATCATAAAGCGGCAAGACGGCTATCAGTAAAGAAGATTGTTTTGTAAGAAAGAACGCAGTTCCATTTGAAATATTCCAAGATTGGTACACTTGCAGAGGTATTGTTCTACCTCTGTGTAGGTAGTAGTATCATAAAAAGATGAGTTGGATTGTTACAGATTACAGCTTTCTGCTTTTTCATGCCAATAATCATATTTAACTGATTCTCCTTAGATAGGCTGGAATCCTATCTAGGATGTTCCCATAGAGGCATTTGAGGAGTTGGTACGAAGATGGGTGGCATCTGCATGCTTTGTGTGGCCTGCAAGATAAAAGAGGTAATAAGTCCAGGCCACTGGGAGAATCCTAATGTCGCATATGCATTATGTTCATGACAACTCAGGGAGATGACAAGCTGCCAGTGAAAGTAATTTTAAATGAAGTGTGTTGAAGGTGGAACTGCTGAATCAGTTCTTACTCTCTGGTCACCAAAGTGCATCTTTGCATGCTAAAGAGGTTAATCCTGTCCTGTTGAATACAAACCACCTTGTCTCAGCTGCAAAGCTGTTTCTAATGTTCTCTTGCATTCCTGGATCTCTTGCATAACCTTAAAATGTGCCTTCATCCATGACCTTACAGAAAATACGGTCAAGGTCATATACAAAGTGAGCATGTTCCCAGATTCTTACCAAATCAATGAAGACCAAGAGATGGCACTCAGACCAGAATCTCAGTGAAAACCCTGTTGGTCAGCTGAAAGGAATCAGGGAAATAACATTCTGATTATTTAAAATAACACTAAGATCTTCAGTCAAGGACATCTTGCTTTCTGTGGTGTGCAGGATTGGTTTCTTCCAAGCCATGGCATCAAGAATGTGTTTGGTTCTCGCTAGCAGAAATTCAGGGGGTATTTCTGCCTGCTGTGTGTGTAGTGCTGCAGAAAGGTTTTCATACTATTTTTGATGCAGTTCTGGGTTTTCACTTGTGGGGTTTGTTTTTCTCCCCCTCTTGAAGCTTTTTTTCTTATTTCAGTATGTATTCTGCAGCTGTATAACTGGCTTGGAGGCTGTAACTGAGGGCGGTGTCTGTTCCCTTTCTCTCTTGTCTGCTGCTTAGAGAACTGAAGTGGGTAGTGGAGTACTGCAGAACGTGCAGTATATTTGGGTTACTCTACTGAGGAAAAAACGTACCTGAAATCTAGTTAAAATTGTGAGTGGTTAAATGCCACCTCAGCAACTGCTAGTTACTGCTGTTGCTGAACTGTTGGATCCATTATTTTAGTTTTTTGAGTATATTATCTTTCTGATTATGTATAAACATCTCTTGTTTTTGTCATGTTTCTGTACAGGAGTAGCAACCAGATTATGGAAATTACTGTAATTTAAAAAAAAAAAAAAAGCATTCTTCAGAGGCAGATATATATTTCTCATCAGTGGATGGGTAAAGAATTTCTTGTGGTTTTCTTCCCGGAACAGTTTGACAAGAAGCATATGATGACATGCAAGCTGCTTTCTCATATGCCTAACACATTTTAGATTTTCCTTTCCACCCTCGTGGATGTATTAGAAATATTTTCATTGTGAAGCCAGTAACAGCAACTTTATATTAGCTTCCCACAGCAATATTGAACTACCTTTCTTGATATTTACCACTGCTGTCATGGGTCTGACTACTTTCAGAAGTTCATGCTGGGAAATCAGCTCAGTGACTGGGCTTGATTTAATTTTTATGCTTAAAAAGTCGGAAATTCATTATTTTCATTTGTTAGATACAACAATCTAGTATAGCAAATCTATTAGGTTTATGCTGTGAAAGTGAACTGTTCATGACAGCACACTAATGAAAGTAAAGCCTAAAACTATACTTTTTTCCACATCATATCCTTTCTATTTGATGCGTGCATCAGAACGCAGTAGTTAGCTGTTAGCAGAAACACTAGCTGTAGGACAAGTAAAACGTGGGGTTTTCTTTATTATTTGTCTGCTGCATAGTTGTATGATCTTGTGGAGAACTCTGTAACTTTTAAAATATTCTCTGCAGCCAAAAGGTGACCTAATTGCTTAAAATTGAAGTAACGCTAGTCTTGTAATGCAGCTGAATCATGGCAGGGGTTTACATTTTTTATTGTAACACCTTAATATGGAACTCAAGATAGAGGATTAATTTTTTTTAATACTTAAGTTCATGTTGACAGAACCCTTCTGTCACAACTGAGGATACAAATTTTGCAGTATTTCTTAGTGTGGTTTCTTAAGGGTATCAAAATAGCTTCATCCCCTCTTCATACAACAAGAATTCAAAAAGAGCTAGTTTAGTCCATGATAGTACTTTCTCTAGATTTTTTTTGTTTGTAATTGGAAGAATTTTGTCAAAGATGTCAAAGGCTTAAAAAGAGTGGTTTGGTATTAATAGCATTTTCCTTTTCTTTGACATGCTCCACCTGTTATGATCTAAGTCTGGCATTAGTTACAGCACTGATCTATGCAAATTTGGTGTTATCTGTTTAGAACACTGCTGCCTTAACCCTGCTTTTAATTTCTTTCATTTTTAGTCAACTCCTTTGTCACTGCAGTTCCTAATTCTTGGGGCTCTACCACAGACAAAATGCTGGTGTCTGCTTTTACAACTAATGTGTGAAAGTATTTTCTGTGTATGTTTTCTGTTTACCACTTACCATTATTCAAGGATGTGCTATCACTAAGATGAATGGTGTGTAAGTAGGCAAATAGGACATCTTCATTTTTTGGTGTCATGCCTTTCTTTACCCTCCTGTATAAAGAGGGTAGTGAGACTGAGAATGCTCTCATTCTCAGCTGAGAATGCTCAAGACCAGATTTTTAGGGAAGTTCAGGTACCCAGCTTGCATTTGAGATTGAGGAAGCTTGGCAACTGAAAAATGTTTTAAAAATGTAAAATTTATGCATTCTCTTTATTTTTTTCTTAATTATAAGCTGCTGTGTTCATATGAGGGGCAGGGAAATGATGGTGTTGAAAATCTTATTATCTAACTGAAAGGAAGGGATTTTCTTAGCGTTTTCCCATTGACTGTCTTTTAACATCATTTGGGCTTAAGAGGTGTAGTATCTTTCAGTTTTGCTTCTCTCTGTTTGCCAGGCAGCTGTTTCATCTCCACTCTATAGTGGAGCAGAATCCAGCGTGAAGTTCTTTGATTCCTCTATTTCTTTCTGACAGTTGTATTGCTACATAGCTAAAGGGAAGTCCCTTTCTGTTGCGTGCTGTTTTAAAGTCTCTGGTTGAAAAGCGCTTAAGTTTAGTGCCCAGTGTGAAAGACCTCTTCAAGATGTCAGTAGCAATTACAAAATCCTTTATACAGTATGTTAATGCAAATAGAGCATCCTAGGATTTGTGAAATAGCATTTACTGCTTACTATGTTCCACTCCTGAAATATGTCCTTGAAATATTTTTTTCCTTGATTTTTAGCATACATAAAAGGTGGGTGGATACTCCGAAAAGCCTGGAAAATTTACAATAAGTGCTATACGGACATTAATACACTTCAGGAAATATATCAGAAGAAAACAACTCGGGAATCCTTGACTTCTGATGCTGCAAATGATAATCATATTGCTGCAGAAGGTGTAACGGAGGATTCGCTAAACAGACTGAAAGGTGCTGTTAGCTTTGGATATGGACTTTTTCATCTTTGCATATCCATGGTGCCCCCAAACCTGCTCAAAATCATCAACCTGCTGGGTTTTCCTGGAGACCGCCTACAGGGGCTTTCTTCACTGATGTATGCAAGTGAAAGTAAGGACATGAAGGCCCCTTTAGCTACGTGAGTAGCTATATTGAAATGCTTTGGTAGATAACTTAGTACTGAAAGTAAGTAAATTGAAAGAAGTCAAAACCAAAAAGTCATGTTGCTTTAAAGGAAACAACAGCAGGTAAAATAAACTTGTAGTTTGTTGTTTAACATGCTGTGGTTCAGTAAGTTCATCACTTACTAGTGTGTGAGATATCGCTGCTGTTACTTAATGTATTTGGGGGTTGTGTCAGTATTTTGCTGTATTCTTCAGGACCTGCTATTCTAATGCCTCGTAACTTATATGCCAGCAGAGTAACTAAAAGCACCCCCTGAGTGAATTTACCTGGGTTATATCCTCTGCTATGGAGGACATACTATTTTGTACGAGTCATTGATCTCCCTTAGCTATTTATCCTTACTATTAGCCAAAGAACTTTCCCAGTTTAATTTTAGCATCTGAGTAAAATGGGATGTTCCCTTACAGTCTTTTTAGAGGGGTGTTATTTGTGTACTCTTCTTTCCAAGCCCTCATGCTGCATTTGGGTCTTGTTATCAGGTAAAGGGTTAGCCAGACCTAATTTAAACTGCCTTTGTAAATGGGTTTATTATTCATCTCCAAATTAATGCTTTTAGTACTGGACCTACTCCAGGTACCATCAGATGTCACTTTTGAAACATTGACAGCAGAGCTGAAGTCTCTTCTGCTTGAAGAGAAGAATTGGATTTCTGTTTGGTTAAGAAAGCTTAAGATTAAACATTCTTGTTCATTTGTTCTTTCTCCTTTATGGGGAAGAAAACCAGTGTTTTTTGGGGTGTTTCCCTCTTCATATGGTCTTGAAAATCTTTGTGCTCTGCCCTTGTTGCCAGGAGTAATGTAGGTCATGTAGATGTCTGCTCTTCTGAACACCGGATGTATTTCTTTGACATTGATCTCAAGTGTGTCTGCTGATGTGTGTTTAGTTTTGGTTGGGTTTGGTTTTTTTCCCCTCTAATGAACAACTAATTTTCAAAGTTTTCCTGTGGGTTTTTCTTTTTTAAAATCTATGGAGTTCTAAAGGCTTAACTGCTTTGATGATACGAGCTTGATTGTTGTTTTATCTTTGGGTAACATGCACTGAATTGTATGTTCATGTGCAGTGTAGGAGTACATTGATGTGTGGCAATAGTATTGTGCATGTTTTAAAGCCAGGTTGCGTAAGAAAGGATCCATTTCTTTCTTTGTCTTTCTGAATCATTTAAAAATTTGCCTGTGTAGAACATTATCCTTAAATTTCTGTTTACCGGCTGTAATCCTTTTTACTCTTATGTTTCTTTTAGATTAGCTCTGTTGTGGTATCACACAGTTGTTCGTCCCTTTTTTGCCCTTGATGGCAGTGATAACCAAGCAGGATTGAAAGAGGCAAAAGAAATTCTTGCAAAAAAAGAATCTGCTTATCCGAATTCTTCTCTGTTCATGTTCTTCAAGGGAAGGATACAGCGATTAGAGGTATTGCATGTTTTCTTCTGTTTGACTGACTTCTCCTCCCCACCCTTTTGTTATTTTGTTTTTCTAATGTAAAGGAACTGTGCAAGCTTCAGCAAATCGTGACTGAAGATATAGATACATGGAAAGAGAAGTAAGAAGAAAGGACTAACTCCTTCCTAGTTTCAAGTTCACATGCTAAACCTGCTATTCCACTACTTCTATCTGAATTGATGGCACTTTGAAGTTCTTTTTCAGCTACTTGATACATTTGTAGCTCTGTGCCAAAAGGAAGTGCTTTTGGTCACTCGTGAGTTTCTTGTGGTATAAATAGCTATTTTAGTTCTGCTTGTCAAGCAAAAATCTGAGTATTATCTGCTGAGTACATAGCATTTGTCTTTCTCTTTTCATTTTATGCGTTGTTCATATACAGCTAATTCTCTGCAATAATTTCCTCAGATAACTGCTTTTGCTTTTAAGAGGTCAATCCAGGATGTTTTCTGTTGCTAAGGGTGAGTTCTG